GGGACTACATACGTAGTATATAAATTCACATAAGAATCATACAAGCATTAAGATCCAGCTAGACCGTGTAAGGCTTCGATTCTATAGTTTGAATATTAAATGTTCCAAAAAGAATATAAACTTTCTCAGTATTTTTCGTACATGTAATTATTCATAAAAAAGTTCCGGGAAAACTTTGCATCAGAGCGCGATAAGAAATGGGATCGCTACCACTGTGCGATTGCCGCCCAACTAGCGCAAACTTCATGACCCCCCCATAGACATGAAATTCTCTTTTTTCGCGATCTGTATTTGTTTCTACTCGCTTCATGCTTAGCACGTATGCGATTAGAGATTCCCAAAATTCCTGTAGTGAAATTAGATTCCTGTAGTGATTAGAAAATTATATTGTTAGATTATTATTTGTGTTCTGTGTACAATTTAACGTGTAAGTGGTTTTTGTTTTGTAGTACGATTTATTTTTTGAATGTAGCATTAATTTGATGGTTACGTTAGACGATTTTTCTCTCCCTCTTTCTAGACAATAGTGTACATTCTTGCAAAGGTATTTACAGTTACACTTTATCTTTTTTTCATTACTTGCTGTTTTTTCTTTGTTTTTTAATTGTTTCTTTTATATTTTTGTATTCTTCAGTATGGAATGCGTAGATTCTGAGAACGCAAAAAGACGTAAATTTTCTCATGATTGGCTAGAAAACGAGAAATGTAAATTTTGGATTAAAAAAATTTCTAATGATAATAGTTCACATATTTTTGTGTCCCTTGTAATAAAACGTTTTCTTGCTCATCAGGAGTTTTTAAGAATGCTGAATCGAAAGCTAATCGAACTAACATTGCAAATAATTGCTCTGATGAAGTAAATATCATTGAAAAGGAATCTCATGAAAGGAAATTTTACCAATCATGGCTTGAAAATGAACAATTCAAACCATGGCTGCAAACAATCCCGTACGATCCTTTCAATTGTTTTTGCTTCTTCTGCAATCTAAAGTTTCGATGTGGTTTCAATAAGCTTATGCGGCATTCTGACAGTAAGAAACATGTTTCGTAGTGTCAGAAAAGGAGTTTCAGCGTAGATTTGAATACGCATGACGATGAACGTTTGCCTTTTGAAGATCGGAAAGAAATCGCGGAAATAAAATTTACAGCATTAATTCCCGAGAAAAACATTCCATTTGAAACAGCAGAATCAATCTTAAGTTTTTTTCAAGATCTCGGAGAAGATCCGGAATGCTTGAAAAGTATGAGGATGAATCGGAATAGGGCAGCGAAAGTAATAAAGAATGTCTTATGTGTTCGCGAACAGGAGAGGTTGGTCGATAAATTACAAAATAATAAATTGTCTATTTTTGTTGACGAAACATCTGATTTAACTAATGATAAATGGATGACGTTTCTTGTTCGGTACGTCGATCCTCAGACTTTGAATGTTCAAACGGAATTATTAGACTTAATTCATTTGGACGCGAGTGATTGCAGTGCCGAAAAATTATTTACAAATTTTAGAGCCGAAATGCAAAACAAATTCCATTTTCAAACATTCTCGCTCTTTCCTGTGATAACGCTTCTGTTATGACAGGAAAATACGAATCATTTAAAATTAAATTACAAAAACATTGCAAAAGTTTGATAATGATGCCAAGTCCTTGTCACACATCTGCATTAGTAGCAAATGCAGCTTGCAGCGCAACTCCTGAAGCATGCGAGGAGCTTTTACGAAAAGTGGCATCGTTTATCTCTAGCAGTCCCAAGCGCGCGTGTATTTTTGAGCAATTCCAAAAATCATTTTGTTTTGATGGGTCTTGTAGCAAAATTTTAAACTGTCTAAAACACGATGGCTTTCACGTCATGCATGCGTTGCTAGACTGAACGAAAATTGGGATGTGCTATTAAAATTTTTGCAAGAAGAGCAATTGAACGAGAAATCAAAGTCTGGGGCTGCTTTACTATCTCTGATGCAAAATTCAGAAATACAAGCATATCTTTTGTTTCTTGATTATATTCTGGATGCATTTAACAAGTTTAATGCGTCGAATTGAAGAAATAAAAGTTTATTTACTTCAATCAGCTGCGGAAAATCTTTTGAAAATTGTTCTTAAAAATGTTGTAAAAGCGCCATTATTGAATTTTGTTTCGATTGATACAATTAATCCTTTGCTTGCGTGTAATCGTTTATCTCCTGATCAAGTTATGGTTGGAGAAGCTTGCCAAGATCTTCTTGATCGATTGAACCAGGAACGTCAAGGTGAGATTGTCAAATCAGTTTACGAAAATTGTTTGGCATTCTACGACATTACTGCGAAAGAAATTCGTAACAAACTTTTTGTCAAGAACGAATTTCTGTGTAAATTGAGGATTTTCGAACCTAAATTTGCTTTGCAGCAAGAAGACGAAAAAAACACCTCGAATAACTCCGTTCAGGTTGTTCTTTTTGTTGCCCAACGATTCGGCGGATTTGATGAGGAGATATTAAAAGAAGAATGGCAATTCCTAAAAAAGATTTCACATCAGAGCAGAAAGCCACAATAATTAATTTACATTTTGATGAAGCATGGAATACAATAATGGCAACTAAAACGGCAGATGGAAAATTTAGATATCCAGTTTTAACTAAATTAAGTAATGCAAACTATAGAAATCAAGGTCTTAAACGGTCTAGCTGGATCTTAATGCTTGTATGATTCTTATGTGAATTTATATACTACGTATGTAGTCCCCAGAAACGCGGGCCGAAATGATTTTTCGGTCTTGGAACGCTAACTCTATTAAACTACCGCAGTAATATCACGAGTTAAATTGACTGGCAATTTAACTAATTTTTGATGCTTATTCGCATCCTCGAAACGATCTTAATAATGATGAATAACATATTAAAATCTGTAAATAATTAATTCTTCTTTCGAAAAATATTACCTCGGGAGTCCAGCTAGACCGTTTAAGGCTTTGATTTCTATAGTTTGTGTTATTACATGAACGGTCCTATAATATATTATATTATTTATTTACGTCGCCTAAAGAGACGTTGTTCCTTCATATGCCAATTATTGCGAAGAATATTACTAAGGCCTCGGTAGTCTAAAGGCTTAGGACGCTCGCACGGTATGCAAGAGATCCGGGTTCGACTCCCGGCCGGGGTAATATTTTTCGCAATAAGAATTAATTATTTACAGATTTTAATATTGTTATTCATCATTATTAAGATCGTTTCGAAGATGCGAATAAGCATAAAAAATTAGTTAAATTACCAGTCAATTTAACTCGTGATATTACTGCGGTAGTTTAACAGAGTTAGCGTTTCAAGACCGAGAAATCATTTCGGCGCGCGTTTCTGGGGACTACGTACGTAGTATATAAATTTACATCAGAATCATACAAGCATTAAGATCCTGTTAGACCGTTTAAGGCTTTGATTTCTACAGTTTGTGTTACCACATGTACGGTGCTATAATATATTATATTATTTAATTAATGCAATTCGATTTCTTCCAAATTCTAATGCTGATGCCGAAAGAGTGTTTTCCATGCTGACAGACGTAAAGACGAAGAAACGTAATAAACTTCATCCGAGTAACAATCAATCTTTATGCGTGTTCAAATCAATTCTGAGGGCGAGAGGAGAAACGGCTCGAACCATGATAGTTGATACACGACATTTAACTCTCATGTCTGAGAATTTGTATAAAACAAACGCAAGAGAAAATACACAATAAATGTTTTTTGCGTTTGTTTGGTGCTGATGAACATCCCTCTACGTCCTCGGATTTGTAAGAAAATCTCTCAGTAGCCAAATTAATTGATTTCATTTTTTTATTAATTTATAAATTGTTATCTACAGCATAGAGTTAAAAAAATTATTTTAACTTCAGAGAGGCTTAGTTACAGCTTTTGCTGCTTGGTGGCGGTTAATATTGCTTTTTTTAACACCATGTACTTATTTCTTGGGTACCTTTTTTCCTTTTTAGTTTTTTTTGTTTACTTTTCTCTGGTTGTAAGTTTTTATAACATGATTTTTCGTGCAATGGATCTGTTGTACCCTTGGGTGAAGGACAGGTAGGGGATTCGCCGAGGACCAGGACGCACCAATAAACCACTCAGTACACAACAAAACACTTTAATAACTTCAGTAACTTTTCAATAATCTTAATTAACAATTATATGTTACGCTTTACATGTAATAATTCAATTTCGCGTCGGTACGATTTAGGTTTATAATAAAAGTCCGCGTTCGCGTAGATTTTGTTGATCGGTCGACTTATTTTTTATTCGCGAGAGCTGTTGGCGTACGGGCGTTATCTCGAGTAACAGCTGGTATTAGACTCACCTCTTTGTCAGTATGTCACGGTTAATATACTTGCTCGAACTGCTGACTGGACTTGTACTTCGGTCAGCTGTTCGAGCGGATTTCGGTTGCTCTCATTTTTAATGTGGTCATTGCTGACACTTGCAACCTGATTTCTAAATCTGACGGGCAATAGCTTCCGTCTTTCTGCAACTTGCGAAGAACAGCTTGCGTTATTTGCGTGCTGCTTCCGCAAGATTGTCTTTTCGAAATTGAACTAAAGTAGGCAATGAGTATGCTGACTTTTCGGTAGTCAGTGGTATTTAGTTCAATTGCAGAATAACCTAGTTTCCCAATTAATTACTACATTTCTGTTGCTCAGTAGCCTTATTTCTATTTAATAAATAGTTATAGCTGCGGCTATACATCCCTCCCCCGTTAGTTAGAAAAACAGTACGGGGTTAATACAATGGACTGTTTTTCCTTTTACAAATATTTACAATTTTTCTTGCCCGATAACATTATAATTATAATCGTTTGCTTAATTATATTAGGCGTTGTCTATTTTTACATTTTTGTATAACTATGTAAGCTGCTATTCCTAACAAGCCTAAAATTATTATTCCATTTATTGATATTGTGTATACAAATTGTTTTTGTCGATAGAAAGGTATTCGATTTTGTTCTAATTCATTATTTATATTTCTAATTTGGACGCTTAAGTCCCTTAACTCTGCGGGGTTTCGCAAAATTTGTTTTAATTTTATTCGATC